GCTTGCCAGGCAGGCGCTGTGACGCTGAGCTAAATCCCCATCCCTTGTTTGTTTTTTTACTGTAACCTGACTTGGTTTTTTGACATTCTCCTTTAAAGTAAGTGATACATAAATTAAAACCAAAATAAATAGTGGAGAAATGTGAAACGATTCCTGTGGCCCCTTTTAGGCTTTGGCCTCCCAGCTGACCATGACCAAATGCCATTTGGGAAGGTGGTATTCCTTGTCCATGGCTTACATGATTCCTGTTTTTTGTTTGTTTTGTTTTGTTTTTGTAGTGCTAGGGTATGAATCCATGGCTTTGTACTGAGCTATGTCCACAGATCTTTTTAAATTTTAAATTTTGAGACAGGGTCTCACTTGCCCAGGCTGGGCTCCAGCTTGCCATCCTCCTGCCTCAGCCTCCCAGAGTGCTGGAGTTATAGGCGTGCACCACTGTACCCAGTCTGAGTTGGCCCATGTCCACGTGTTGGGTGCCAGGAGGTTAATGTGCCTGTCTGCGTACCTGTGTGTTACATGGGATTTTGTTATGTCTGTGATCAGGTCGTAAGTTGGAAGGCTACTGTGGCTAATGCCAATTCACAAGTGGGTGAGGTGGAGGGGAGGGGTGGATGTTTAAAGGAGGGAAATAAACTACACCTAATGTCCAAGATTAACTCTGAACTTGATCTTCAAGTGAGTACCGTTGTTCAGGTTGTGCTATCCCCTGTCCTTTATCCTTTCTCTGATCATGGGGGGCTGGCTCTGCTTAGGCTGGTGCTAAGGATGAGAAACCATCTACAGAGCCAAATGGGGTTCCCGGGGCGAGAGAAGAACCCAGTGTTTCTCAGTAACAGTTGGCGGCGGGGGCGGGCAGACATGCCCCTTGCTGTTTACCCTTGGATTAATCTTTAACTCCCTGCAGATCGCGCAGGGCTGCCCTCAGTGCAGCAGGTCTGCTCCGGTGTCTACACATGGTACATCCTGTGCTGCCTGCGCCTGGTCAGTTTTGAAATGAAGAGGAATTGGGAAAAGGCTCCGGGAGTGGATCTGTGTGGGACCCCGTGAGCCTCTACTCTCCCTGGGAGCTGTCTCTGAGGAAGTTTCCAGGGCTGGCCAGGCAGAGAGGCAGGGATAAGAGAATGGAGTCCCCCCTGGCTGCCCTGTGGCCAAGTCCCAGCCCCAGTAGCGGGACAGTGTTTTCTAGAAGCTTCCTCTGGATGAATCTGAGTCCCTGCAACTCTAACACATACTTTCATAAAAGAACACATACTTGCTGAGGATTTCGACCAACTCCTGTTAACATCAGGCAGACCCCCACCTTTACTTGCTCTGTGATTGAACCGCACCCCCATAGTCTAGTCTGGAAATACCACAGAAAGTTACTTTGGGGGTTTTGGACACATCACAAAGGAGATTAGGGATAAACGCCTCAAGCCACAGTGACATCCCCATGGAGTTGGTTTATTTCTGTGTCTAGACTTGTATATGCATATCATTTAACCTCCTGAAATTCTGTGATTTCAAGTCACACCCAAGAGTGTTACTTTTGGACTACTGGTGATATTTCATGTTTTCTGCTGAGTCTAAGGAAAGAGAAATTCCTACAGTGCTGAGGCATCCATGTAACAGCCTTCTGTGTTGTTGTTGTTTTTTTTCTCAGTCAACTTACTACATGGAGGGAAACCTGGGCCACCCCGTGTTCCAGACACAGTTTGGGAGGATTGCAGTGAACATCTGTTATGGGCGGCACCACCCCCTCAACTGGCTTATGTACAGCATCAACGGGGCAGAGATCATCTTCAACCCCTCGGCCACCATCGGCGCACTCAGGTGACTCGGTGGGCAGGATGTGGGGGCTCCCTGGGGCCCATCCACCATGTCAGACCCAAGGCCATGATGTAGGACTCAGAGGTGGGGTTTATAAACTGCGACAGTCAGATGTGGCTATCAGAATGTCTTAACAGATCAGAGCCCTGTGCTTGTACAGTTCACATGTAACCAGCCTTTTAGTGAAAAGGATTCTCAAAATGACATAACTTCTGATCCCCAAAGAGCTGCTCACTCTACTGTGAGCCATCAGCCTTTGCTATGATTCTGAGCTTTGAAATGAAAATAATACCACCACCTCCTGCATGATCACCGAGATGCAGAAAGTCCTCCTTCTCAGTCTGGGAGCACAGTAGGTATCTGGCTAGCATTAGCTCCTGGACAGAGGGCTCTGGATTCTTGCACATGGAGCCTGCAGCATCCAGCCAGGGAACACACAGCCAGGTGAGGCAAGGAGCAGGTGATGGGCTGGAGCCCACAGGATGCTTAAGAGATCAGTCCCAGAAACTTATTTTTAGCCAATGAAATAGTTTCCCTAGTGACACCTAACAACAAGTGTTTGGGTGTTAAGGTTCAGCTGCTCCGGTTAAGGCAGTGCTGGGTGAGGGTGGACCAGGCGGCTTCCAAGTTCCTGGGTTCCTGGGCAGGACCCACAGGACCCCTCATCTAGTAAGGGCAGCAAGTGAGCTTTAGAGAGCCTTTGCATGACTGTCCTTGTGCTGATCCGCGCTTCCCCAAGCCTTTGCATGACTGTCCTTGTGCTGATCCGCGCTTCCCCTACAGCTGAGCATTTGGGTGGTTTCCAGCTTCGCATCATTACAAGTAACAGAACTCTAGAAATCTGTGGAAACATTTTTCTCCCCAACTCACTCCTTCCCAGGCAGGAAGAGGGGCTGCCGCAAGAGGTGCTGGCTTCTGCTGTCCACGGCCCTGATTGGTCAGGGCTAGGCACAGGGTTAGAGGGCAGTGGAGGGAAGTCTGGCGTGCAGCTTCAAGTTCTCTGCTGGCCCACACCTGTGTGCTTCTAACTCTCAACAAAATCTTAGTCTGGTTCTGTCTTAGATGTCAGAATGTGATGTTTACCGTTTCTTTTACACATGGCGCCCCGCTCTCTCTCTCAAGTGACATGCCCTGTGCTTGAGTTTGCACAGCAGGTTCCTACTCAGGTCAGAATGGAGCCCCCAGTCTCTTGCCTCAGGTCCGCTGCCTTGTCTGTGCTGTTGGGTAGAAGTAAAAAATCAAGGCTTCGATCGTCCTTAGGGTTTTCTCTCAGAAAATATACCAGGATCTCATAATGGCTTGAGTACCAGTAACAGTGTCCACTGGGGTTTTTTAATTTTGTTTTGTTTTTTTGTTTTTTTTTTTGTCTTTTTGAGATGGGGTCTTTCTATACGGTTCAGGCTGGCCTTGAGCTCACTGTATAGCCCAGGCTGGTCTCGAACTTGCAGTGATCCTCCTGCCACAGCCTCCCAAGTGCTGGGGTTATGCTGGGCTCCATTGGTGGTTTTGAGGCAAGGTGATTACTGGTCATCCAGCCACTCTGCCTATGCAAAACCTTGGTCCTCCCAAATATCCCTTTGGCCATTTATGTGTAAGACATGCTAACAGCTCTGTCTTCCGGACAGGGATCAGGAGAGAAACTGGAAGCCCAACCCCCGGGCATCTGAGCCTGAACTGGCTTCTGGCCACAGACCCAAATGGCCACCTCACTGCGTGGGTGTAGAGGCTCTTCCAGACCCTGCTATCTTAGGCTTTTATTAGCCCCAATTAAGCAAACAGAAGCACCCCAGTATAATATGGACATAAGCGCTTGTGTCCTGGCAGCTTATCAGGCTTTTTAAAAATGATTGATTTTCCTTCCGCAGCCAAGAATTGTCCAACCCTCTGCTTTCAAGGGTGTGGTGAGGCTGACAGTAAAAGCTGTCACAGGCCTCTGGGAAAGCGGAGTGTTTCATGAACGCCTAACTTGTTCATGTCCTGTGACAGATAAAGACACTCCCAGAACCACAGCCTGAGGAAGTGATGTAAGAGGAGGACACGTCTGTGCGTATGACATGTTTATGGTAACAAGAAAAACATCAGGGTTAAGGAAATCTCAGCCCATCTCTTCCATGGGTTATTGCCACTACAGAGTCATTACGAAGATAATGCGGCATCATGACAAAGGCCTATGAGCCATAAAAAGACGTGTATCTAGGCTGTGGTCAGAACTCTGTAGAATTTTTTGTACTATGGGCAGAGATGGTCATGGAGTATGGAAAAATGATAACAGGTGGTTTATGGGGGTGGTGAGATTTGGGTGATTTTTTAAAAAATTACTCGCAGAATTGATGGTGTTTTTAAGCACAATGCCGGGGGGATGGGGGAAACCCACAGTAGATCACAACTTCCAGAACCGTCCAGCTCCTTCTCTGATATCTTTTGCCCTCCCTGTCAGGCACATCATGCCTGCAGTGCAGGTTAGCAGGGTATCTTCACTTATCTTTGTGTCCCACAGTTCTAAACCCACAAAAGACTGGAAGGGCTTTTTGATTCATTGAGTCACCCTGACAGTCCCAGGGTGTACCCAGCACAGCCCGAGTAGCTGAATATTTCTGCTTTGTTCATTCATCAGAAGGTCGCCGTCCCATGTCCTTGGTGCGTTTTGCCTTCCCACTGTGATTATTTTTAGGGATTTGTGTATGTTACACTGGGAATATGTTACCCCTGTCCCTGCATCAAAACCCGCACACGTTGGACTCTCACGAAACCTCCAGCTTTCTTTCCCTTAGTGGTTTTGAGAGCGTACATTTTATTTCCAGCTGGGGGTTTGAGTCCTACGCAGAACACGTCCCTGGAGAATTGCAAGAGCGATGTTTTATGGCAGCTGTTCCACAAGTGTCTATTTAATTCCTGAAAATGTCATCTACAGTGTATTTCTGTAAAAATCCTTTCTTAAAAGTTTTGTCAGCTTGGCTTAGCAGTTGAGGGGGAAAAAAAAGCAAAATGAGTCCCCTCAATCAAGCCCTTGTTTTTTTTTTTTCTTTTATCCTTTTCCAGACTCATGAATCCTCCTGAGAATCAGACTTGTGACAAGCACACACCCCCTCCACCCACTCCATGGTTTAAACCAGGTGCATGCTGACAGGAAGGAAGATTCCAGGGCATTTGCTCCCCGTCACTCAGTGTTTCTAAGTGGGCATTGGTTCGGCCGATCTAGAATCTTAATGGTGTCATTCCTGGGATGAAAGCTAATCAGTGACCAGAAGGCCCAGTGAGCTCCATGTGGGCTGGGAAAGACAGGCTCCCTCGCTGAGGTGAGGTCTCCCGCTGTGCTCTCCTTCGGTGGGTGCTGGACCAAGGAAGGCCCACAACTCAGCGGATGCCAGTAAGGGAAGAGGGAGCCTCTGCTTGAAGATGGAAGGTTCAGAGGATGAAAATAGAAAGGTCCTGAGAAGCAAGAATCAGCTCAGAGGCAGTAATTCTGCTGCACAGTGTGACCCCCCAACACACACACCATTACCTAAATTCTTTTCTAGTTTACTCTGGCTGAATTCTGCCCTTTGGAACTTTTTTTTTTTTTTTTTTTTTTTTTTGGCAAGATAGGGTAGGAGAGTTAGGGGTAGGGCTGAGAAAGTGCATGTGCAGCCCTCACAGGAGGTCAAGCACAAGCTCACCAGCCCCGCAGCTCCCCTCTGACATTTACCAGAGTTCTGCCCAGGCCAGCTGGAAAGTGGACTCCCAGGAGGAGGGAAGAAGGCAGCACAGTGACAGCTACGGAACTCCTGCCACGTGGAGCTTCACATCCTGATCGTTCAGTCCTTCTGCGTAGTCTCCTTCTGAGGGAGTTTGGGAGCAGAAAACAAGGTCGGGATGAGGCGCTGATTCCGGGCAGTCTGACTGTTCTGGTAGACACACGGCTTCTGCCTATAGCGGGGCCTCCCTGAAAGGCTGCTTAGGCTTAAACCAGGTGCTGAGGACAAGCAGGTCTGCTTGCAGGTCTGCGGAGACCCATGGGTACAGTAGGTCTCCCTGGCTGTCCCCACCGCAGGCCAGGGAAGGCCGGCGGCCCGGCTGCAGCTCAGCCTGACCATTCAGAGTCTGGCTGAGAGCTGGCATCCTGATTCCTCCTGTCCTTCTCTTACAGTGAGTCCTTCTGGCCAATTGAGGCCAGAAACGCAGCAATTGCCAATCACTGCTTCACTTGTGCCATTAACCGTGTGGGCCAGGTAAGTCCCTGAGGTCTGGTTGAGAACCACTACTGCCTGGAGACCCTGGCAGGGACATAACACAGGGCCACATGATCATGTGTCTTTTCCCTGTCCCTTGTGTGCGCGTGCCACCAATTCTAGGGTCCCAGAAGTGGAAACACTGACTTGATCTGTTACTTTTGTTCTATCTTTAACTAAAATCATCCTGGAAGAGTCTTCGATTTACAGTTTTTCACTCTCACTTCCCAGTATCCAGTTTGTCTTTCCTCCTTTCCCCGCTCCCCTCCCCCCTCCGTGTATGTGTGTATTTATTTCGTGTGGTACTGGGGACCAAACCTGGAGCCTTGCACAGGCTGGGCAAGCACTGTGCCACTGGGCTTTATCCTAAGCCCTTTTTAATTTGCTGATGATGCAGGGCCTTCCCTAGTTGCCCAGGCTAGCCTTCACCTCACAATTCTTCTGCCTCAGCCTCCCTTTAAGCTGGGATTACAGGCATGGTGTCCTGCTGTCCAGTTTCTTAACTTCCCCCATTGGTGGAGCCCATTCGCTTAAACAGCTTTGACCGCCAAACACGGTGCGTTTATTTGCATAATTAACTCTCTTCCTTATGTTTTCTAACTGAATATCAAACTCTGATCGGAGCATCTGATCAATACGAGAGAACCAAGGTTTTCACACTGATTCTGATTTCTCCCAACCTAAACCCAGTGATTGTTTTGTTTTTGCTGCTGGTGGTGTTTGTTTGTTTGTTCATTTTTCTGTACTGAGGCTTGAACCCAGGGGTACTGTACCACTGAGCTACATTCCCAGCCCTGAATTGCCCGTGTGGGTCTTAAATTTGCGATCCTTCTGCTTCAGCCTCCCTCAGCGCCGGGATTACAGGCATGCAGCACTGTGTCCGGGCAAAACCCAGTGTGCTATTTAGTCTCTGTGACCCACAGCACCGCTTGACACGTACTTCCCATCAAGCTTTGGGAAAATATTAAAAAACAATGTGTGGACTTCCCTACCCACTTCTTCCTTTCACAGAGCCCAGGCTGGGGTCTTACTTCTTGAGGCAGGCCAGCCTTCCAAGCCTCCCACAGCCTTGAGAAGCGATCAGTACCCGGGGTCTTTCTTCCCACACTATAAACACTACAGAGGCAAAATCCAGATCTTTACCCTGCTTGCCAAATTCCCCGCTGCCTGCCCAATGCTGGGTGCTCAGTGGGACATTTAACAAGTGATTGCCCAGCGAGTACAGATGTTTCCATTCACTCGGAGCACTTCTCAGCCGATGCTGCTTGCTGCTCTTGCTCTGGCTAAGGGATCTGCGATGAATGTCATGGTGGTGCCACCTACAGGTTCCTCTTACCTTGTTGTTACTCCACAGGAACATTTCCCCAACGAGTTTACCTCGGGAGACGGAAAGAAAGGTATGTCCCGTGAGTGCTGGTGGCAGTGGGCCTCATCTTCCCCTTCACCCCCTTCCTCTGGGCAGCGTCTGCCCCAGGGCCTGTGTCTGGGACCCAGGAGGAGGCACTGATGCCCCTCTGCTTTATTGTTCCTAGTGCTGGAATCTGACTGACTGGGAGCAAAGTCCTGGGGTTGTAACCACTTCATTCCCCAAATGGGCGTAGAGTGGGAATTGGATTGGCCTCACTCCCTCCCCGAGAACTGGCAAGAAGATGGACCAGCCGGGCGTGGTGGCGCATGCCTATAATCCCAGCACTCGGGAGGCTGAGTCAGAAGGAACGTTGGGAGTTCGAGACCAGCCTGGGCTACAGAGTGAGCTCAAGGCCAGCCTGAACTGCATAGCGAGACCCTACCTCAAAAATGACAAAAAAAAAAGATGGACCAGAGAGGAGTTGAAGGAGCGCTCCCCTATGTGAGCTCCCCAAAAAGGGGATGTGCTGGCACTTAACCTGCAAACCTCCCTCTTTTCCTTTCTCCTTGTTCCCTTCCCTCACCCCTGGTACACAAATGCCCTAGAGTCGGCATGGATAGTCTTGGATTTCTGGTGTCCACAGCTTACTTTGACCTGAGGACAGGAATCCCCAGCCCTCTGCTGGCAATCCTGCACCCCCAGGTCCCACCTCTCTGGCTGAGATGTGACAAGGAAGGATGCCCCTCTCACTGAGGTGGGGTTTGAATTGGCTTGGGCTGTCACTTCCCAGGAATATGGTGGATACTGAGCAGATGTTTCCGAAGAAAACATTTCCTGAAGGGGGTGCCAGGTCCCTGTCAGAAGGCCACAGGTTGCACCCCAGATTCACAAATTCTCAACCCCAGTCTTTGCCATGGAGGTACAGAACTAGCTGGAAAATCAATATCTGGCCCTGCGCCAGATAGGCCCCGCCCTGTACCCACCTCTTCCTCACAAGCTTTTAGCGTGGTTGTTAACACCCTGTGACTGGTGAGGGGCCTGAGGCGTGGAGGTAGGAGGTGAGCAGTTTCCGTTTACCCAGGAGGGCCACCACAGGAAGTAAGTCACACAGGAAGCCCCCAGAGCCCTGTGATTCCCTTGGGGTGTGAGTGCTTGATGTTGAGAATGAAGGGCCAACACCTCTACTGCATGACCTTTAGAAATTTTCTCAGCAGAGGGGAGTGATGCAAGGGTGACCTTTGCAACTGTCTGCTGGGCCTTCAGGCCTGAGGAAGAACACAAGCCCTTCTAGCCCCAGCACTTGGCAGGCGCTGTGGAGGGGGGATGCTGTGGATGCCTTGTCCTGAGCGGCTCTGCATGTGCCTGCCCTTCTGCAGAGCCTACACTGTGTCTATTACAACTCACATCTGTTTCCCTTTGCTCCTTACAGCTCATCAGGACTTTGGCTACTTTTATGGCTCCAGCTATGTGACAGCCCCCGACGGCAGCCGGACTCCTGGGCTCTCCCGTAACCGGGACGGGCTGCTGGTCACTGAACTCGACCTCAACCTCTGTCGCCAGATGAGTGATCTCTGGACCTTCAAGGTAAGGCCTGAGACCCCTTCTGTGCCCCTGCTTCTCTACTTTGGTCCCCCATCCTTCCTGCAGGACCGGTAACCAAAGTTGTGGGGTTTGCCTTCAGAGACAGCGTATAGGAGATGCCCCCTCCCCACCCAAAGGTTCCATGGTGAGCAGACAGCCAGTCCCTGCCTCCCTGCTGATGGCAGGCTTCAATAAATTCCCCTCTCATCTGATTTAGATTCTAGGCGCCTTCAAACAAATTAATCTCAATTTCATTTGTCCAGAGAATAGAGTGGATTGGCTTCTGTAATCCTTTTTCCTTTCCAGGCATTTGCACTTATCACAAGATAAATGTGCGCGTCTGGTTCTGCCTGCAGCCAGGCTCCACAGTCTAGGCCTTGACAATAGAGGGAAATGGGTCACTCAGAGAAATGGGATCTAGGCTGGCTCTGTCTTTGCCTTGCTTGGTCACCCTAAGTAAGCGCCTTCTGCTCCCGGACCGTAGGGCTCCCAGTTGTAAAATAAGAGGCTTAATTTGTAGGCTCTATGCTGCCTTTGAGACCAAATGCCCTGTGACGTCAGGAGTCAGAGCTGTATCAGTACCTGCCTTCCTGGGGTGGGACAATGGTAGCCAAGGCCCGGGGCCACCTGGAAGGGCTCCCATCTGTGGGAGTTGTATTCGTGTCTATCAGTATTGCCACCAACTGAGACCCATTCATAAACAAACCACACAGCAAAGGAGTGTCACATTGTTATAACCGAATGACTTTTACCTAGTATGAAGAGCCAGAGATGGGCTCTAAGCTTTGCTTCCCGGCTTGCCAAAGCATAGATCCTGGATCACACCTCAGGTAAGCAAGGCATTGCCCGTGAGAAAAGCTCCCGACACGTCACTCCTCTTGAGCAGCTCGTATCAATGCAAGATTGATTCCACCTAAATCAGAAGCTGTAGCCAGGAACACTGGCCAACACTTCTAACAAGTGTCACCAGGAACAATAAGCAGAGTGATAGTCTTGGAGCAGAAACCTTCCCAGCTGTGGTGATGGGATGAGCTTATACTGAGGCTTTTGGAAGGAGGGAAGGCATGAATGAGCACCCCGGTGGGCTTTCCAGCCCCGTCTCGTCTCTGTCTGGATCTGTGACACCCCATGTGGAGCAGGCAGACTCAGCCAGGAAACCAGGTTCAAGTTCCTAGCCTTCTCCTCTCATAGCTGGTGACCTGGAGTAGGTCGCTACCCTGCCTGGGCCTTAGGCCACTCTTCTAGGGTTCTGCAGGCCCATAAGACATCCCTCCTGCCTCAGGGAAGACCACATCTCTGGGATGGACATGTGTCAGAGGTCACAGCAAGTTGGGCTGGGATGTATGAGCCATCTATGAACCTCGCTGAAATCAGCGCCAGGAGGTCACCCTGGGATTGCTCCTCATAGTCTGAAATTGACCTGTCAAGGAGCCTCGTCTATGCATTCCTGTCCCATGGCTGCCCCCCAGTGGCAAGAGGTGGTAGTGAAAAAATGACAAGTGACTATAAAACAGGAACCTCCAAAGTACACCTGTGTTTTGTTTTCAGATGACCGGGAGATATGAGATGTATGCCCGGGAGCTTGCTGAAGCTGTCAAACCCGACTACAACCCCCACATTGTGAAAGAGTAGCTGGCTGCACCCCTTCCTGCCCTGGCTGTCGGGGAGGGTGCCTCTTCCCCCTGTAGAGGCGCACACGGGGCAAGCTTCGTGTATTCAAGATCTGCCTGATCAGGATGTGGCCCAGATGGGTTTTTCAGTGCTCAGGCAAGGGGAACTGGGATGGGGAATGACTGCTAGATGGGTATAAGGTTTCTTCTTGGAGCAGTGGTAATGCTTTGGGGTTAGATAGAGGTGATAGGGTTGCACAGCATTGCAGATGTATAAAGTACCACTGGATCATACACTTTACGTGTTTCATTTTATGTTATATGACTTCCACCTTGCTTTTTAAAAAATACCCAGGTACTGCGAGCTGGTGAGTTTGAAATTAGATGGGCTGGGTGTAATGGAACACGTCTAGAATCTTGGGAGGCTGAGGCAGGAGAATTGCTATGAGTTTGAGGCCAGCCTGGGCTACATAGTGAGTTCAAGGCCAATCTGAACTACATAGAAAAACCCTGCCTCAACAACAGAGGAGGTTAGAGCGAATTTGCCATCAGCAGCTTGAGGGTCAGCATGAGCATCTGTGTAAAAACTGGAAAAGGGTGAGGGTAGCTGCAGTGACAAAGCCTAGAGCATGGCTGCAGGTGTGTCCACTTGGCTTGACTACAGTCCCTGGCTTATTGCCTAGGCTGGCCTTGAACTCCTAAGTTCAAGAAATTCTCCTGTCTCGGCCTCCTGAGTAGCTGAGACTGCCAGTACACAGAAACATGCCCAGGTTTGTGAGTTTTGTTTTGTTTTTGTGGCACTGGAATTGAACCCCAGGTCTCGTGCATGCTAAGCAAGTTTACCACCACTGAGATATACACCAGCCCTTTTAAAATTTTGAGACAAGGTCTCACTTAGTTGCCCTACCTGGCCTCCAGTTTATAATCTTCCTGCCTCAGCCTCTTGAGTAGCTGGGCTTATAGGGTTTCACCTCCACACCTAGCCTATGTGCTGGTATTTTATAGATTGCCCGTATTTTATAGATGTGATTCAAGTCCATAGCTAGTTGACTAAGAAGGTGAAATTATCATATAACCTGGGCAGGCCTGACTCAATCTAAAAAGCAGACTGGATTCCATGGGAGCAGACAGCACTCTAGCCCCTGAGGAGAGTTCCAGCCTGCTCCCCTGATAGCCTGCCCTTGGGTTGGCCTTGTCTAACCAACCCCTCAATCACTGGCTTCAATTCCTTGCAACAAATCCCACTGGCACTCTTTCTCACTGGGTCTGACTAATGCAGATTGTGGTGCCAGAAATGGTTCCAGAAGAGGGAAAAAAAATTTTTTTTGAGACAAGGTCTCACTGTGTAGTCCAGGCTGGCCTTGAACTCCCTGTGTATGGGGCTGGAGATATAGCTCAGTGGCATAAATGCTTGCCTAGCAAGCCTGAGGTCATGAGTTTGATTCCCAGTACAAAAAAAGAAAGAACTCACTGTGTAGCCCAGGCTGGCCTCAAACTCACAGGGATCCTCCTGCCTCAGGCTCCCAGAGTGCTGGGATTATAGGAGTGTACCACTACACCCAGCTGGGAAACTTCAAGGATGAGTTTTCTGTGTTCTGGGTTTTCTAGAATTCTCTCATTTAGTTGGATTTAAGGCACTAGCGACTCTATTCTGAATGGTAAAGAGGAAAGTGGCGGCCCCTGGCATGATGCAGCCATGGAAATTTATATGTAGCACAGGCCACCAGCCAGTGTCCACGGGCTCCATCCCGCCCTGCCTGACGGCCTGCCCTGTGGGTCTCAGACTTGCTGGATGAGCGCCCACCATCATGCAAAGCAATTCCTGCACTAAGTCTCTCGTTATCTTACTTCCACCCATCCCTGCTGGCTCCACTCCTACAGCTGGTCCTCACCTTCCATATCAGATTAGTCACCTCTTTGGCCTCCACATTTGTAAAAGCAGACCATGTGCATGCCCTGCTTTATGTCACAGCATGGTGTGAGACAGACTGGGTGCGCTAGGGAGCTCCCTGGCGATCGTCAGCGCAGTGCCTGCCTGGGCTCAGTGCCTTACAGCAATCTCAGGGCAAAGATCCAGGCTGCTGGGCCTCAAACAGCAGCTGACGAGGGTGTGAGGGAATAGTGTTCTGTAGTTTCACCCTCACCGCTCCCGGTCAGAGAACGCAGCTTGAGGCCTTCCCTGGCCCAGGAACTGCACGGCATGAACGAGCCCATGTCAGGGCTGGACAGCCCTTGGATGATAAAGCCCGATACAACTGCCTGACCATAACTGTGCTGATTTCCTTAACCTCCCTGAGCTACAGGTCCAGGGTCCACTTTGGAGCTTATTTTTTCATAGAAGAGAGCCCTACAGACATCGTGAGGGTTTGTTTTTTCTTTTTTTTTTGGTGGATGGGTGGGGTTTGTCTGGCCTTTCTGGATCCAAAGTCTTTGTGCCCCTCATTTGTAGAAGGAACATGTAATCAGCCAAATATAGAGGTTTCAATGGCACATTAATGCGTTTATGAGTAATGCGTCGGACTGATTATCCATACAACAGTTAGGCTCATCTCAAAGTAGGCAGACCCTGCACAGAGGGTCTTTCCGGGATTGACCTTGTGCCTGGAACACACAGTGCTCAGGAAATATCTGTTGATGCCAGGCGTGGTGGCACAGGCCTGTAATCCCAGCACTCGAGAGGCTGAGGCATGAGGTTTGCCTTGAGTTGAAGGCCAGCTTGGACTATATAGTGAGACCCTGTTTTAAAAAAACAAAACAACAAAAACAAAAACACACATTTGTTGAATGAACCTGGGGTTAAGGTTTTATACGCGTATTGCTGAGGTCACAGAGAAGGCTCTCGGCTGGGAACTTGCTTTGGTTCAGCGTCCATGGCTTGTAGGCCCACTGGCCCCTGTGTAATCTTGGATAAAACCTTTTGATTCTTCAGTTTTCTCACCTATAAGACAACAAGTCCTCAGAGTTCTTCCAGCTCTGGCAGACAGCCTTCCTGCCAGGCCGCAGCTTTACTTTTAATAAAGCAGCTTCTAGGGATTGACCCAGGCCTTGTACATGCTGAGCGCACACTACTGCCGAGCCAAACAGCTTCACTGCTGGCGTCTGGAGTGGGGTTAGGGTGGCCAAACCATAGTGTACTCAAAAGGAAAAAGAGCGTTCTTGAGCATAGACCATATGCAAAATCACCAGACTGTCTCAGTAAGTTAAAAATATTAAAATTGTATAGTGTGTATTTTCCAGTGACAATGGACTTAACCTGGAAATCAATACAAACAGAAAAACTGGAAAATTGAAAATAGGTGGAAATTATCACACTACTTTTTTCTTCCGTGGTGCCAGAGATCAAACCCAGGGCATTGCACACGTTAAGCAAGTGCTGCTCCACTGAGCTACTTCCCCACCCAGCGGCACCCTCTGCACCACCCTGTGAGTCAGAAAGGAAATCATAGGAGAAGTTAGAAAATATCTTGAGACACACAGGGGAAAAACAAAAAACTGCCAAAACATACGAAATGCAATAAAAAGCAGTGTTAAGAAAGAAACTTATATTAAAGATCTCAAGCCAACAACCAAACTTTACACACTGACAAATTCAGAGCACATACATGTGTGAATGAAACCCAAAAGCAGCAGAAGGAGGGAAATGATTAGAACAGAGGGAAAGAAAAAACAGTAGAGGAGATAAATGAAAGCAAAGTTTATTCTTCAAAAAAATCAACAAAATGGACAACCTGTAGCTAGATTGACTAATAAAAAAGAAGACTTAAATTATTACAACCAGAAATCAAAGGGGGATCCAGGCATGGTGGCATATACCTGTCATCCCAGTACTCAGGAAAACTGGCTATCCATGTGCAGAAGATTGAATCTAGACCCGTATATCTCACCATGTACTAAACTAAAATTAAAATGGATCAACGATCTAATGTTAAGCACTTGCTCTGCTAGAAGACAAAATAGGTAAAATGAAGTCACAGGTATATGCAAGGGCTTTCTGAACAGAAATAG